GTGAACCATCCCTCTGCCCACGGTCACCACTGCCCGCACCCCCCACCGTCAGCCCCTTAGCAGCACTCTCGGTTCTCAGAGTCACGGCCATGGCATAGCGGTGCTGGTGATCAGGGAGCCCGTATTTTGCGTAATAACGTCTCACTTCTTCTCATTACACAAGCCATTTTACCATCTCGCATCATCACAAGAAGAAGGGTGAGTACAGTACAATAAGATGCTTTTGAGAGAGAGAGACCACATTCTCGGTTTTCATTACAGAATATCATTATAATTATCCCATTTTATTATTGTTTTTGTTCATTTCTTATGTGCCCAATTTAGAAACTTTATTTTAGGTGTGCTTGTATAGCTAAAACATAGTATAGACAGGATTTGGTACCGCTCATGGTTTCAGGCACCCCTGCCGGTCTCAGAAAGTAGCCACCGTGTAAACAGCTAGATGGCTGTACATATGTTTCAGACTGTATATTATAAATCAAACTGAGATAACTGGCTACACATAAGCATGAAAATAATGGCAACTTCTATTTTATAACACATCTAAAATTGTATTCCAGATAAATTAAACAACTGCATATAAAGCAAATAAAACTATAAATACATTAGAAGAAAAATTAGGAGAACATTTGTACAGTATGGAATGAAGAAAGCCTTCTTTAGCAAAGTAAGAAACTTAAGGTAAATAAATGATTATATATTTTTAAAATGCTATTCATACTATATAGTTCTATGTTGCTAGTTTATACAGAAAAATGGAAAGAGTAGATTCAATAAACACTCATAACTTCTATGTAGTATATAGTAGCTAACAAATGATCTTCTAAGAGAAAATATTTATAACTCATATAATACAATGGCTTCATATCTGTAATATACAAGGAGCTCTTGTAAATTAGTTAGAAAATGGCATATGTGATCAGGCAATTCACAGCAGAGGAAAGCAAAGGGCCAGTAAACGTAAGACAAGATGTTTGACGTTTCTGTTAGTAGTCGGGGAAGTGAACATGGAAGCATCTGAACGTCATCTGGGTGCAAGGGCAGCGTTCCCACCAGCACGACGGGACTTCGGACAAGTCCTGGCGTCCGGTGGTGGGAAGGCTTTGGGGTAATCGTCACTCCTGGAGGCAGGGATGGTTCTGCAAATCGTTTCAGTCCAAAAGTAATCTGTCTGCATTTGTTAAACTAAAAAAAAAAAATGCACAAGAGCTTTACCTACAACCTCAGTTCGGGGCGGTTATTTGACAGGAATAAAAATAAAGTAGGTAAGCATGTGCTGAAGTACAGTTACTAAAGGGAGGAGAGAGAGCCGTGAGCTGGGTAAAAGCGTGGCCTCTATGGACAGAGACTGGTTAGGATTCAAATCCAAAACTTACTGTGACCTTGAGCAAGTTATTTCATCTCTACGTGCCTCAATTGTCTCAGCTGTGTGAAAACAGCAAGTCCTAGCTCATGACATTTTTATGAAGATTCGGTGCATGTCAAGTGTTTAGAACATTGTCTTGTACATTTTAAGACCATAATAAATTGGTTATTATCATTATTATTGGCAATAATAAAAGCAACCTAGATATCAATTGAGAAGGAAAATAATTAAACTAACTGTACTATGAAGCCATTAAAAATAATGAGGTATATCTGTATGAATGTATTTTCCAACATGGAGTAAGTGAAAAAGTGCAAGTTATAGTTTCATGTATTACATCATTCCAATTTTGGAATAAAAGCAAAACTAAATGCTTGCCCTATAGATATGCCTATTTTGTGGTAGGATAATAATTTGAGATATTAACTATTTTTTTCCTTCCAGTAGTTCAGCTTTTACCTCCGAACCCAACTTGCCCCCTGGCTACTTTGGTCTTCTCGTCAGCAGGGAGATACAGTCAAAAGAATCATCCCCGTAAATGGTTTCTGAAAGGTCAAACCTGCAGATGATTGAGGGTTTGAGAAGATTCCCCACTGCCTGACTGGAAAAGATATGTGGCAGAAATAAAAATGCAAATCTGTACACTTAACATAAGGATGCTTATTAAAGATTGGAGAGAGACGCTTCCAGCTTGGAGAGGCTGAGAGGTTATTGGAAGGAAGCAGCAAGTGTGTGAGGTAGGCTTAGAAGACAGGGGCCTTATGTCCAATGTCACAGATAAAGCCTGGGAAGGTGGAAGGCTCTGGTTAGGGGGTTGGGTCTAAGACCAGAGGGAAGCTGGGCCTCCGTTTCCAGGTAGTAGCCAGGGAAGCTGGCAAGAGCCCGCAACAGCAATGGCTATCGTGAGCAGGGCAGGTAGGACCTCAGGCAGCCTGGCAGAGATCGCAAGGCTCGTGGTTGGCACAGAATCCACCACACCTGACAGGGTCTGACAGCAAGGGCCAGCGCCTCTGTGAGGACCAGTGGCGAAGGCCCAGATGGAGTGAAAGCTGTCTCAGTGTCACCATGGTTACCAAGAATCAGATGCTGTCCAGACTCCACCTCCCACTCAGTTTCCGGGTACTACATAATCCCCCTGCCCTGCCACCTGACATCTAGGCACAGCTGCAGGAAAAGGGGGGTAGTTCAAATTAACTCAGATTGAGTGGCCACCTAACAAATGTGAATGGAAACTCAAACCAGAAGTGAATTTGAGTTAAAGAGAAATGAAGTTATATTTCTTTCTCATCCATGTGAGGAAGAGCTCATGCTATTTATGTATATGGGAGAGGCTACACAGTACACAGCTGAAAGGGGAAGGAGAAAGAATTTGTTTTACTTAAGTACTTCTGTAATACTTAAAATGTGTAGGTAGTACTTTTGTAAGTTAATTGAGTAAAATAGTATCAAATACAAAGACAAAATAGCAAGTTCAAAATCATTTTGTACTACATAATAAAAGTCCAGACCCAAAATGCCTATATTGGGCAAATTATTAGTATCTCTATAACCCAATTTACTAATTTATAAAATGAAGGATTGAATTAAGTGATTCATATAATCCTTTCCTTCTAGAAAATTCTATTAAAGCAGTGAGTTTCCTGTTCTTGAAAATCTACAACCAGATATGGTATAAAAGAGTCATATTTATGAAAGATCTTGGAAAAGTAAAGGTCCTTTTATTTCATGTTATAAAGATAGTGACGGCAGGAGCTTCCGTGGAAAAACAGAACTGTTTCAAGAAACAGGTTTGGGTTGTCAATTTCAGCTCTGTCAGTTAGTTTTATCATGACCTTGGGCAAGAAAGTTTTAAAAAATTGGACTTAAATTCTTTCAACATCTGTAAAGTAAAAGTTTCCAAGCCTGTGTGTGCATTAGAATCAGTCTGATATTAAAATATATATGTCTGTATATATGCCATATATTTAATAAAAATGTGTACATATGCCACCAAAAGACACGTACCAGAACATTCACAGCTGCACTACTTGGAACAATGTAAGCCTTGAAACAACCCAAATGTCCATTGATAGTAGAACAAATGAAATGTTAGTATACTTGTGATTGGATGCTGTAGAGCAGGGATCAAGCAACTTTTTTCTTAAAGTGCCAGACAGTAAACATTTTCAGCTTTGGCAGCTATACAGTGTCTGTTGTGACTAAACTCTGCCATAGGAGCACGAAATTGCTGTAGACAACACAGCAACAAATTAGCCTGGTGGTGCTCCAGTAATGTCTACTTGCAAAATAGGGAGTGAACTTCCTGCCATATAGCAAGGAAAATGAATAAACGATGACTACATGCACTAACACAGACGAATTTCACAAATATACGGTGGAGTAAGAGAAGCCAGATGCAAAGAGCACACTTTGAGTGGTTCCATTTACATAAATCGCAAAATTAGCAAATGTAAGCTAGGATGTTAGGAGTCAGAATATGTGGCCATCTCGGGAGAGTGGTGGGCCTCAAGAAGTGTCTTCTGAACTGGATTGCTCCATTACCAGATCAGAGACAGTGTTCATTTGGTGAAGACTAACTGAACTACACACTGACACAATTTGTACTTTTTTTTCTGATGTAAGCTTTACTTCACTAAAAAGTTTATGTAAATAATAGATCTTTCAGGGTCTCACTCTGCAAGAATCTGCATTAGTTGGTCAAGGCTGTGGCCTGAGGATCTGTCCTAATCTGGACGTGAAGACATAGGTGATTCGCCCAAGGTCGTGTGGCTGGCAGACCTTACACGGAGTGAGCTCTTACAGTGCTGGGCATGAGGTGAGTCGGTTCTGCAAAAAGAGAGGACACAGCACCTGTCCTTGAGAACAAACTGGTAATCAGCTCACGGGAGTCAAGTTTGCATACCAGACTTCAACGTAGAGGGAAGTCTCTTTGCACTATCACCTGAATATTCTCATTGGCTTCTGCCACCCTGTTCAGAGCTTCACAGAATCTTAGAATTGCCAGGCAGCTGCCAGAAGGCTTTCAGAACTCAGCATGAGCACAGCAGCTAGCTCGCTAAGTGGATGGAGGGTCTCTATGTGCTTCCCACCTCCTGCTCCTCTAACAGGAAGGCACGGTGGTGGAGCAGACGCAACCTGAACTTGGGGTTCAGACAGATGTAACTTCACATTCTGATTTGGTAACTTGTTGGCAAATGCTAAATTTTACTGAACCCTAATTTTTCTCATTTGTAAAATAGGTACAAAATTCATTCCCACTTCATCCTCCCCGATGACATGCAAAGTTTTTCCCCTCTCTTATTCTTCATTCAGTATTTCTTGAGCCAATCTTTAGGTGCCAAGTACGGTTAGGTCTTTTGCAAGGATTATTTCAATTCATCTTTGGCAGTGAGAAAGGGTCATTGATGATCATCACTATATACATGAAGAGACTAGTAATCAGGGAACTTAAGTGACCTGCCCGAGGTCATACAGGTAAACAAGAGGTGGACCCAACTTCCCACTGAGGAAGTGTGACTGGGAGCCTAGCCCTTCACCAGTGCTGTGACGATGGCGGTGCCTGCAGCTCTCACCCTGTCTGGCCCACGGATGGAATTCAATAGATGTTAATTCTGCGTTTCCTTTTTCCTCACAGAGCTATGAATCAGAGCACAGGCCTGGCAGTCAGAAAATCTGGATTCCAGTGGCTCGATCAATTACTTTTATTTCCTGGCCAGTGTAATGAATGAACTGGATTAGGTAAATCTGAAATTTTTCTCCTTGACTAAATTAATATGTCCTCGTACTCTCTGCGAATACTTGCACCAAATAGAAAATAAAATATTTTTATCCTAAAATTTTATGAAACCTTTGCCTTTGCTTCCATAACCTGAGTTTGCTTTAATATTTTTAAACTAGAAATGAGACTATTCCCCAACTGAACCTCTCTCCATCCCACGCAAACTCACCTGACCCCAACCTGCATCCACTGTGCCTCCCAGTGCTCCAGGCGCCCTCACTTGTTGCTGCATGAATCTCAAAGTGGAACTCTTGACTTGGATTGAAAAACAGAGTTTTTTGTTGATTTTTTTCAGGCTTCTGTACCTAGACCATTCTATTAATCTGTGCAGTATGGATGATTATATAACATAGAAGCTCTTACAGACCAGACCTGACATGAGTCCTTCAAACTCATCTACAACTGAACAAATTCTTCTCATTGAAACAGTCCATACACTTTTGACACCTCGCCAACTTGGCAGATAAGGCTGGATTTTCTGCAAATTGAAAAGTGGTGATAGTGAAGCTGCTGGTAGTGTTAATGCTGATAAAATATAGTTCCATCTCTATATGGATCATTTCTTATAAAGGCAAAGTGAAAACTCATGTATCAGATTTGGAAACTGTTGGACCAACAAGTACATGTAGAGGGCAAGAATGATAAATTTAGAGAATAAACTAAGGATTGTTTTTATCTTACTTCCCTATCATTTGCCTACATTCAAAGCTCCATTGGTATGCAAGGGAGAATGTGTTTTGTTAAAGCTATTTACAGAAGTAAAAACAAAAGTTAATTTCAGAAGAAGCCAGTAGTTTTCTCTTATGCAAGTATTAGCAGAATTTCAGAATAACATTTAAAATAAATTGTTATATTAATGGCATATATATATGCATTACACTAAAAAAAACAAACCATAAAAAATGCTGTAAATTTTGAGACGCACAAAAGCCGGTAGGGTTGAAAGATTTAGCATTCCAGTAATAAGAGTTTGGAATTCCAAAGCACACACAAACATGTCATTTTTATTGTTTTGCTTAGTTTGGTTTTATTCCAGGAAGTTAGGAGACACCAGGCTAGACAGTAGAGATGACAAGTCATGCTGAAAATGCTTCCTATGAGACAGGAAATGGTCTCAGACCCTGCGTATGACCCCACCAAATTCACTCTTTGTTTTCAGTACATCCATTTGCTTCTTTGTGCTTAATTCTGTATATTTTGTTCAGATGAGTCAGAGAGAAAATGGCAATCATAGCACTATATGCCTACTAAACTAATTGCTCTTATAGTACCAAGGGATAAATGAAGATGCTTATCGCTGATTTATGAAGAGGTATTTGGTATAAATGAAAGGACTTTTTATAGCAGCTTTACAATGAATCTCATTATAAAAATTTTCAGGTCCCAAATGTTAATGATTTCATGCACACAGGCGCACATGCACACAGGTGCACATACACACAGTGTATACATGTCTGCATATATGTGATTGGTTTTCAGGTGATTTAAGATACTTGAAAAGGCAACCACTAAAAATCACTTTTAATAATGAACAAATTTTGAATTAGTATTTCTGAGATATTACCATTTCGATCATGCAGACCTTGGGAATGACTAACCCAGAATATTTTCTTCATCGATTGTCCCTGATCTGTCCAGTCATCAAATCTGCCCACCTGGAAATATCATGAAAATTTCTCCTTGAAAAACTGAAGTTGGCTTCAGTTCAATGATCAGATTCTATCCAGTGATCCCAAAGTATGCTCCTATGGTTGCAAAAAAGAAAAAAAAATATATATATATATTTATACACACACATATGATGCATTTAAAAATTTTTAAACAATGCAGGCTGAAACTTACAAATTTATAGTAACAATGAGCACAAAACAACAGCAAAAATCTTCCTTTCTCTAAGCATTTCTGATGAAATTATAACAATTATTTCAAGCCATACTACAGAACTGCAATAGAATGACATGTTTCAGCTTGTATGTTAAAGAGGTTTTTATTGCAAAAATCCTACTTTTCTTCAGTTTCATTTTTAAGGCATGTATTTGACAACTGATTGAGGGAGTGAAATGTCATCTCTCAGCATTTGAAAAGAGACTTCAGGTGTTAGTAGGGCCATGCTCCTCCCAGCCATTTGGGAGAGGATCCTTTCCTGCCCCTTCCGGCTTCTTGTGGCCCACAGTATTCCTTGGTTTGGAGCATAACTCCAGTCTCTGCCTGTCTTTACATAACCATTTTCTCCATGTATTTGTATCTTCACATCATGTTCTCTGTGTGTGTGTTTCTTCTTACAGCCCACATGTTTTTTTGGATTGGGGCCCACATGGTTCCATACAATCTCACCTTAACTAATTATATCTGCAAGGACTACATTCCAAATAAAATCACTCTGAGGTACTGGGGGTTAGGATGCCAACACATCCTTTGGGGGAGCCAAATTTCAACCCATAACACCTGCCCCAGCAGGTGTTCTGGATGCTAGGATTACTGCATAAATAAAACAAATTCATGTTCTCCAAGTGGAAGGAGATTACATTAAGCAAACAAAACCCAAGAATATCAGTTAGCGATAAGGGCTACACAGACAGTTATGTAACAGGGCACCTACTTAGCTTGGGTGATCAGAAAGCTCAGTCCCATGTGACCTTTAAGCTGAGATCCTAAGACAAGAAGGAGGCTGGAGAAAAGAAGACTTCAGTCAAAAATAACCAAGGCTTCCAGGGCCAAAGAGCCTATTCCACTGTCCACCATCTGTCAGCACCACGGTTTCTTTTTCCCATGGATTTATGTATTAACTTCACAAATCATCTACCTAAGTTTGGGCTTCTGATAAGTTTCTGCAAAGTTATGGACAGATGGAACAGCAACCCAAGCAATGGGACTTTTCAAGCTCTAAAAAAAGAGCATTTGTCTTTAGTCTGAGGAGACTATATTGTTTTTTGGACTCTAGGGCAGTCTTTATAGTTTGAAAGCTGCTTTTAAAACATAATAAAAATATTATTGCAAAGAATTATAAAAATAAAGAAATTATTACTGATTTGATAAGTTCTATTCATATCCCCTTAAAGGATATCAACTTTGATTTACATCTATGCATTCATAAAAAATGTTAGTACCATTTATTATAAAATCATCTTCAAATCTATCAGAAATTATAGGGATTTTGTTAAAATATAGCTTATTTCACAAAAGCCACTTTTTCTAAGAGCTTTCTTCTCTTATTTAATTCTATAAGTTCCATACTACACGATATAGTGTTCTAAGCTGACCCCTAAGTCATTTCATCTCAAGGAAAATGAAAACATTATATTGTTGGCAGCAAAGTGGCACCAGGTGTTAGACCAGTGGAATCAGAATAGACCTTGGTTCTCCAACTTCAGTACTTGAGTTCTGGCTAAGAAAGAATTCAGAGCCAAGACTCAAATTATAAGAGAAAGTTTATTTAGAAAATCACAGAAATAGAAGAAGTGAACCTTAGAAGACATTGGCTTAGGAAACAAGTTACAGAGGTAAAAGAAGGCCTTTGGGACTTATGCGGGGAGGGAGGGGGAAAGAGAGAGAGAGAGAGAAGCAAGAAGCAATGTCCCAATGTCCAGGGACAAGTGTGTCCTTTCAGGGCTGTGGTCTCTGCTTGGTAGTCCCCAGCGCAGGGGGGTCATTAGTCAATGCAGCAGGTCTTGGTGTCAGCCATGATGTTGCTTGTCTGGTTTTCAGGGCCTGGAGCTGAAACACAACTGAGGCCCAGATATATTTGATGTGGGTTAGAATTTCCTTGCCCTGGGGGCTTTAATGCTTAAGGGCTATTCTCCGGCCCCCTTGTTCTGTTTCCCCTCTAAGGGGGTCTAACTCCAGGACTAGCAACATCCCAGTGGAGGAAAGGTCAGGGGAGGGTCCAAGCTACATGATCAGTGATGTGAAGTCAGGGGTCTAAACCACATGACCAGCAATATGCTAAGGGACGAAAGGTGACCCTGGGGGCCGGGGCTTTGTTTTCCCAGTTTTGCCCATTGCTAGGCACCCAGGGCTTTCCATTCTGGTGACTTTGTGTACCTGGCCCATTGACCTTGCTCTGCCCATGTCTGTATAACTGCCTCCTACAGAATGACAATGAACTACTTCTGAGGAGATTTCAGGGCCTAAATCTTTTGTACCTTTCCTATGTCAAATTTGGGTTTGCATTTTTAACACTTATAAGAAGACTCATGGTAAATTTAGGGCATATTTTTTCATTTCTGTTGTTTGCAGATATAGGCATATTTTACTTACTGAATTACCAACTTTTCCATATGCCTATCAATGTTTAGAAAAAGGCCAAGAACTTGTAAAATAATATGTGGGAACCCGTGATTCAGAAAGAGAACAAATGCACACAGTCTCAGAATAACCTCAGGACTGACCCAATTAAGTTTTAAATAAGTAGCTTTCTAAGAATATGGTTGCTTCGCAGTAACTTTCTATGAATTCCTCCAGAAAAATTTAACAAGGGTCAAGGCCTCTCTTAAGATATTCAGAATAGTAAACTGCTCATCGTCGGGGATAGAAAGCGCAGCATAGGAATGGAGAGCAGAACCAATAACACGGCTTTGGTCCTGTCATAATAGCATAAAGTATATAAAACAAAGTGGAGTCACTCATGTCAACCAAGACGGCTGTCAGTCAGGCAGGACACTTTTGTTCTAAAGGGGTACTACCTGAGTCACACTAGACACATCTAGCAAGGAGACACACCTAAGATATGTGTACCTATGACCAGAACAGCCATGTCTGCAGAGCAGGACCACCAGTAGACAGACTTCTGAGGAAATTCCCCACTAGCCAAAGAGGTGCCAAGACACTAATCAAGAGCCCCGGAAGAGTGGAGAACACCACTTTCAAGGCATAACTGAGTCAGGCTCCAGACCACTGCTGAGACAGCTGAGCTCCGCACACCAGAGCGCTGCTCCATGCCACGTTGATCTCCCTTGGCATTGGCCACCAGAGGCTCTGCCCTAGTGGTCTGAAGACTTCGGCTACCTTGCTGCCCACCTGGCTCTAGAAATCCTTCCTTGCAAGATGCTGGTGACTCCCTTGCCCACTGTGCTGTCTCCCAGACCTGCAGGCTGAGACTTTGGGACTCGGTCATTTTTCCCCATTGATTGTTGTGAGTGTGTTACAATTCTCTTAGATTGTTAGAGTATGAGTAGTATATTAATGTATGTTGGTGGTCTCATTTGAGTGAACCTGCATTCAACAGAAGCTGAGTGAATAACATAGTTACCTTGTGTGACTCTTGTCTATTCCTTGGTGCTGGGTTGCTCAGTAGGCAGCTAGATGAGCAGTTGCCCAGGCGACTTATAGGAAGGACTCTATAGTGAATATATGCTTGCAACAGTAGGAAATAGAGTCAATAATATTATAATAACTATATGTGCTGCCAGATGGTTACTAGACTTATTGGAGAGATCACTTCATCATTTATATTACATAATTTATATATTGGAGAGATCATTTCACTTCATAAATGTCTAATCACTATGCTGTACACTTGAGACTAATATAATATTGTATGTCAATTATAACTAAAACTGTTAAA